CATCAGATTTTGCGGCTGAACTAATACCGCGTTTTTAGTGTTACTTTACTAACCTTGGGACTAGGCCCTTATCGCGAACTCTTGTTTGCCTTTTAACTCAACAACAGTTTGGAAATTTTTTTCAAATAAAAAGCCATGTGAGCTCAGGTATTAACTACTTAAGTAGAGCGAGCATAAACATTTGTCCCCTCAGAAAACTTAGCACATCATGTTTGGAGGAGGTTTCGCTGCGGCCGGTCAATTTCCTGCAAAGCGACTCCACAGCAGTTCATTACGCAGATCCTAGCTATAATTCAGACTTGATGGAAATCAAAGAACAAGCTTATTGTGGTGGCGCTCTTTTTTCTATACTAAAAGGTGGTTCAGTGGTAATTCTTTACTGCAGCTGCTCTTGGTGAGCACAATATTGCGAGTGAGACATTAGGTCACGCCCAAAGGCGTGACCTGATAGTGAGAGAGAGAGTTTGTGTGAGAAGTTCTGGCAGATGCCAGAACACTTATAGCACTTGAACAATCTTCTAAGGTGGCTATGGCTATCAAGTTCTGGGAGAGGTGCCGAATTTCTCACAGGGCTAGAAAAATACGGAAATGCATCTTTAAGCAGCCAAGGCATAGCACACAAAATTCCAGAAAGGATACCGTCTGCGATCAGCGAGAATTCCTATCCAAATGGAAAAGTGTTGCATTGTTCACTTAAGAATTTTGTCAACTCTATCAACTGTATATGAGAAGTATTGTTACACTAATTGCAAGGCAGATCATTCTCAGCTGATTTTACCGATGAACCAACGCAAAGACTAACAATGGGCCGGAGCGTAAATCTAAACAAAAAGCGCTCAGATGGCTTACGTAGTGAATGGCTTAGCAAATGGCTTCCCAATGCCTCCTATAGACTGCTTTGGTTAGGAATGTCGGACGTCTGAGAGTAACGTGCATGAAATGACTCATTACAAACTACCTGTTTCTTCAAAAGTGTGATTGGAAATGGAGTATACGTTAAACAACGAGTCGCTATTGCTTCAAGCACAAGGCGCTCCACCAGCTTTCCGTGATTCTAGTGAAATACTAGGCACATCATTAATTAATAACTGATCAAGAGAATACTATGCTTCCTTTCCAGCAATCCACTTAATTGTCGTACAGTAGTATAGGGTGCGTCATAGTTCCGTTCGCAATACAGACATCTATGGCGTGTCAAATGGATACATGCGGCATTCCATGGGCATAGTGGATCGAACAAGGATCGCCCACAAAGTCAGAAAGGAATTTTATTGAAAAAATTGCATAATGAGCAACGTTGAAATTAGCCAACATGGTGAAGCTCTGGGTTTTGTCAAACTTTGATGAAATCGACTACAATGCGTTGATCAAAATTTTTCATTAGAATTCCGACCATCGGATCTCTTCAGCGAAATGTCCACAAGTGGGCCTATGTGTGGATAGAAAATGTGGTCTCCCTCATAAAAATCAGACTGTTCTCGAATTAGTACTTTCTTTATCTTAGCCCCTGTCTTTGGTTTGCCCGCTTAGTAAATATTATTTTAGAAATTAGATATTTAAAAAGTTTATTAAAATATTTTTGTGCTTTTGTACAGTTGAAGGACTCATAAATTATTGTCTAAAACGTTAATAGATTGAAGCATAGGTTTAGATAATTTTATAAAGGATAATAAATAAAGGCAGAGAATAT